ATTCGAGCAGCGTAAATTTTCAATAGTCGATGTATAATGTACCATTTACTTACACGTTTCTCAAATCCTCCAGGGGGCTTCGCATTCGCTTTGCTTTATACAATAATTTATTAATTAAACTCAACATCCTATTCGCCTAAAATCCGGCGGGAAGAAGTAGGTAGAAAAAAGGAAGAATTAAGAGAAACAACGCCGAACATCGTCGGGCTCGTTTGAATGTATTAACATCAACAAGCGCCCTGCTCCTCCTGCAACTACTTCATTTTCTTCCCTAACATAAAATTTCACCCAAAGCGATCCCACTGCCGGCTAATGAGGTTTTCCTCGAAAGGCTTTTCCTGCGGCGGTTGCTTTCCCAGAACCGGCTCGTGTTTATTTAATACATTAACTAATAAAAATTATAGGAAAAAAAAAACACCCGGAGTGTTCAAGCGGTTGTTCTACGGTGTTGCCATATCGCGAGATTTTTCATTATTAATGCGATTTTAGGGCGGATTTTCCGGTCGATTGGGTGATTAAATTTAGATTGAATTGAATCCGGCGCTGTGCTTTTCGAATGCGCTCAATGACATCAAGCCGGCTCGGTAATATTGATATCAATAAGCGACTTATGTATGGGAGGAAACTCGCTTTAAATTTCGCTCCGGTTTTGTAATATCCTTATTTGTTAAAGCGCGTTGCCGCGAAGCCCAATTAAATTCGCAAATGCCCCAGGTAAACAGGTAATTATACCCCGTGTGGTATATCTATATTGAAGCAGATTTCGAAAAAATATGGAAAAATAAGAGTGAAAATTTTGAAATTTTTATGACAAAAAATTGCTTTGCAAAAGGTGCTCAACTTTTGGAGGAAAATTTCATGAATGTAGTAAAAAATAAGAGTAAAATTTTTGAATTTTCTTGACAAAATGAGCAAAAAATTGATTTGAAAAAGATATGCTCCACTTCTTGATTCAAATTTCATAAAAATAGCGAAAAATAAAAATCTTTATGACAAAATGAGCAAAGAATTGCTTAGCAAAAGGTGCTCCACTTTTTGATGAAAATTTCTTTAAAATAGTAAAAAATAAGAGTGAAAATTTTGAAATTTTTGTAACAAATTGAGCAAAGATTCGCATTGCAAAAAATGTTCCAATTTTTGATGAAAATTTCATAAAAATGGTGAAAAATAAGTGTGAAGATTTTGAAATTATCATGACAAAATGAGCAAAAAATCGCTTTGCAAAAGATGCTCCACTTTTCGAGGAAAATTTCATAAAAGTAGTAAAAAATAAGAGTAAATTTTTTAAAATTTTCTTGACAAAATGAGCAACAAATTGCTTTGAAAAACATATGCTCCACTTGATTCAAATTTCATAATAATAGCAAAAAATAAGAGTAAAAATTTTGAAATATTCAAGACAAATTGAGCAAAGAATTACTTCGCAAAAGGTGGTCCACTTTTTGATGAAAATTTCATAAAAATCTCGAAAAATAATTATCTAATTTATCAATCAACATTCAATCCCCTCTAGGCACGTTCAATTGCAAACAAAAAACAGTATTTTTGTTAACCACTCTGTATCGTTTACGAGGTGCGAAAAGAAGTTACTTCGTAGGCGAGGGATGAAAAAAATCCGTACCGGGCCCGCAAGGGCCGTAAACCCTTTAGCCCGGGGTTGCGCCCTCTTTCTGCCGCAAAGAAATGGTGATAGCGTCGAGATCACGACGGGCGTAAATCACTCCTCTGTATATGGAGATTTACGCTTCGGGCGACATTTACTCCGACCCTTGAATAATGCCCCCGCGATATTGAATACAACGGCGCATCTTTGTAACTTTGAGGGTTTACCTGGAGCCCTATGGTTTCGATTCTACATAGCGTATAGTCTGTATTGTAAACAGACTGATGTTTCTTTTCTTTTTAACAACGGATTGATACATTTGGGTATAGTATTATTTGAAGTACCCTCGTATAGTTTGTTAGTGATTAAAGAGCTCAGATGAAGAGGAATTTGCTAATTTTTTCTTGAAAATTTCAAAATTTTCACTCTTATTTTTTGCTATTTTTATGAAATTTTCATCAAAAAGTGGAGTACCTTTTGCAAAGCAATTCTTTGCTCATTTTGTTATGAAAATTTCTAAAATTTTCTCACTTTTATTTTTTACTGTTTTTATAAAATTTTCATGAAAAAGTTAAGCACTTTTTGCAATGCGATTCTTTGCTATTTTTTCATGAAAATTTCAAAATTTTCACTCTTATTTTTGCTGCTTACATGAAATTTTCATCAAAAAGTGGAGCATCTTTTGCAAAACAATTCTTTGCTCATTTTGTCATGAAAATTTCAAAATTTTCACTCTTATTTTTGCCATTTTTTTGAAATGTTCATCAAAAATTGGAACAACTTTTGCAATGCAATTCTTTGCTCATTTTGTCATGAAAATTTCAAAATTTTCACACCAATGTTTCGCCATATCCCCAACATCCAGAATCCCTCATTTTTCAAACGAATTTCCGAAGCAACTCCCGTTATTAAATAAATCGAAGCGACAAAAAAATCAATCGAACCATCAACCCGAATTTGCCCAAAATCTCCATCGAAAACCACCCCGTCTAATCCCATACGACCCGGCAAATATTCAAACAGAAATTCCCTAATAATCCGTCACTTATAATTCATCGTATAAATCCCCCCGGTAATGAACTTTTCTCGCCCTATTTAAAACGCTTCAGCATCGGAAAAACGACGCCCCGGTGTAATTCTTATCGGCGCCTCTCGACAGTTGACGGACCCCTTTTTTTTTTTCGGCCACAATTAACTTGCCACTTCCAATGTATCTCCGCTCGACTCGACATTGTTTAATTTAATTTTTCATTTCGCCCCGTGTCCCGAAGACAACGAGGATTTGTCGAATCCACTTTTCGTCGATTTTCGCGGCCCGCCCGGCGAATTCTACCGGCAAAAGTAAACGTTTAATACTAAAAAAAAAATGGCAAAATTTCGCATAATGTTATACAAGGGGTGTTCAGAGAATACTTCTCTACGCTACCCTACACGAAACAAACTTTGTAGGTGAAAAATTCTCGATAAAAGACCGAGATTTTCAGTTGAAAATTTACATTGTATTCTTTTTATTAAGTTAAAATCTTTCGTTCTAAATTATTTCGGAGCGTTCTAAATGGTTCTAAACTGTTCTAAATGATTCTGGAGCTTCCTAAATAGTTCTAGATAATTCTAATTGATTATGGAGCGTTCTAAACGGTTCTAAACAGTTCTAAATGATTCTGGACATTTTTAAATGATTCTTCTTCTTAAGAACCTTTCACCCTACCCTCGTACATAAATTCAGGAACGTAACTTAAGAGATTCAAATAAAAAAGACACTATAAATTAGCTTGTCGTTAACTGTCAAATGGAGCGCACAGTTGCCAAATGTACTAATTTATACTACAAAGAACTGAATTTCCAAAAAAAAAAATCGCATTTTTTCTGTAAAACTTCATTAATTTGGCACCGCCGCCAACAAACTAAAACCGAACTAACCGCCCCCTACGACCGGTGAACTTTTATCCGGTTTTATTCGCTTTTTATCGTCCCTATCAGCGGCGACTTGATTTACAGTCGATGGTTTTACGATAGCGCCCTTTCCACGGCTGGCGCCCTTTAATTAGGTTGATTGGTTAGTTAGTTGTGTTTTCCCGTGTTGTATGCGAATGTCTGGTTTTTCCGCGCGCTCTCCGGCGATTTTCTTATCGAGCTCCGATAGAGAAAAGGGGTTTTATTCTTCGATAATGATTGATGAAAGGGGGAGCGTTAAAAGGACTATTTTTACTTACTTGTTGTATAGCAAAGGGTGTATTGTAGTACAGAAAAATTTCGTTTAAGATAATAAATAAGAAAGAATGTAACTTTGATGTATAACAATGATTTTATATAAAAATTGATGACTAATATTTAACAAGTTCGTTATATTAATTTTTCCTCGTGAAATTCTTTTGTAGAATAAAATTTGTTGCATTTAAATAAGATGAATTAAAGATTGAAAACATTTCTGAATTTATAATTCATTGCATTGTAATTTGCTAGCAAAGTTCATAAAATATATACGTAAATATTATTTCGCTGTAGATAACAAACAACAAAAAATCGCGTTGAATAATAAACGTAATTCAACGCTAAACTAACAGATTTTTTTCATTTTTTATTTATTCAACAAATTTCTCATTTCGGTTTCCTCGGTGCGTTTGAATATTAAATGAATTTTCGAAACTTTGTTGCGGCAAGTTCGCTAATAAAAATTAACCGCCGACTGCAACCGGTTGATATTTTATGCAACTTTTTCCCACGGCGCGGCGCGGATGGAAATGCGGAAAAACTTCGAATTTTTCAAAAAAAAAAAAATACACCAAATCCGCGAATTTTTTAAAGGGCAATCTCCGAAATTCCGATGTCGCGCCGTAGAAGAAGAAGAAGAAAAAAAAAAGGGCGCGGGATGATAAATGCTTGACCCATTACGGGGGCCTCAAATGCAGGCGGTTTTCCTAATTCTTCGGCGCGCGCGGTCATTAAAAATGACCTCGTATTTTTGAGACGGCGAGCCGGTAATGTCGGAGGCCATTCCGGGCATAATTTCCGAAACCCTCTCGTTAAAGAGGCCACGCCAACTTAACGACGCGCTCCTTTCTACTCTATTTTTTACACCCTCTCACACATCAAATAACACCCTTCTGGAATTTACAATTTTCCCCAGATCTCCGGATTTTCTTGTATCACAAAATAATCGCGAAATAACCACATACTTTCTAAGCAAAAAGAAAACGCAGCACGCCACTGGTGTAGCAGTGATCGGGAAGTATCGCAGCAGGCGCGACTATTAAGACGTTTCCTGCAATTTCCCCGCGCGAATTGGAAATCTATATATACAAAAAAGTATCCAGCTTCACAATAAAATTAATACTGCAACATCAACGTTTTACGTTATACACGTGATAAATACGATGGGTTTTTCCTCATTTTCCAGGCGGCGAAAAGCTTAAGCAGGATGATCCAGGCTAAGGCTCCGGTGCTCCGGGAGTTCGTCGTTACCACGTCGTCGGTCCTTGCGTTCCTCTTCGCATTATTCGGTGAGTGCATTTTTTTTTTCTAACTCCCTTTTTCCCATTGAATTTTATACCATTAAAATAATTATCACCAATATCGCGAGAAATGTTGAATTTTACTACTTAATTTGCTATCAGTGTGTGTATTTCTAATAGTTTCTTATTCTCCTTCATCCTTATCCTTCATTGTTGATCATTCAACATTGATTCGTCATCATAATTGATCGTTGATCCTTGATCCTTCATTATTCATCGTTGGAACTTTTTCTTTCATATAGTATTCATCATAATTTTTGTTTGATCCTTTGTCCTTTATTATTTATCGTTGATCCTTCATCATTCAACCTTTATTCTTCATCGTTTACCATTCAACATTGATTCGTCATCCTTCATAATTCATGGTTGATCATTTATTCTTCATCACTCATCGTTGATTCTTTTTCTTTCATATTATTCGTTGTTGATGCTTCATCATTGTTCCTCTATCTTTCATCCTTAATCCTTCGTTGTTGTTCATTCAACATTGATTCGTTATCTTTCGTTATTCATCATTGATCATTAACCTTTAATCGTTCATCATTGATCCTTCATGATCACCAATATCAAATACAACTGCATAGTGAATAATTTGTTCGAATGTGTTGAGAGATAAAAAAAAACAAGGGTGGAATTGGGGTTGAATAGAGTGACAAAATCCCATAATGGAGCGCATCTGAGAGAATAAGCTCTAAATAATGCACAAAACGAACAATAAGCAAACCGAGAATTATAAAAGTTTCTAACACCCCGAAGCAGCTTTTAAAATTATATCTCGCCGAATTCCATTAGGCTTCGTTCGCGGTGAATTCTTCCTGCCTTTAAATATTTTATTTCCACCGAAAAACATTGGAAAAAAAAACCGGAGAGAAAAAAAAACCGGCTCTCGTCGAAAGGGTTAGAGCGGATGCGTAAAGCAGTTTGTATTCCGATATTCGCGATAGCTGAAAACATGGTGTAACAGGAAAGCAAACCATTGCTCTGGATAATTTGGTAAATCTTAATTGGCTTTCAGAAATTAGCAAAGTTCCGAACGGGGGGAGTTTCGACTTTGAATTGTGTTATCGTTATTACACTCCCGCGCGATTCTGTCGCCGGCACGACTGGCAGAGAGCTTATTCGTTTTTGGAGCTTTGTTCAAAGGTCGCAGGATTTAATAATACATATCGCTATATTATTATAACAAAAAATTGAGTTTCATTGTAGTACAAAAGACTAATCCCGTCGATGAAGTTTTCTAGACTAAAAACTTTCTCTAATTTAATCAATACTCGTTACGAAGAAACGTAAAATCTCCTCGGACTAATCTAGATTTTTGATAGAGATTCGCCCCGAACTTTCCCCGTATTAAGTTTGCCCGCTTGTAGTATCTACGGGATAATTCAATCCCCCGATTCCGATTCCCTTTTACACTTCATATAATTTACGAATTAATCGCAGTTTTGCCGTTTTAATTCCTGCTCGACAATCGATAAATTTTCTAATTACTAATTGAAAATCCATTTTCCTTAAAGTACACTCCGATTGGATTGTTTGATTTATGCATATATCCGAGATTTATGTAAGATTTAGGCGAATTTATCACGAGCTATATTTATCATTTGGTACACCTTTTGTCATTTGGCACCTTTTATCATTTGGCATTTTATCAATTGGCATTTTATCATTTGGCATCTTTTATCATTTGGCATTGTATCATTTGGCATTCTATCATTTGGCATTTTATCATTTGGCATTGTATCATTTGGCATTCAATCATTTGGCATTGTATCATTTGGCATTATATTATTTGGCATTTTATCATTTGGCGTTTTATCATTCCATTTACATTCGGCTTATTAAATGTTCGAAATGCTTACTATTTCGTGAACATCCTCAAAGGGCGAATGTAGGCATTGTTGCCGGTTTTATCCGGTTGCGAAGCGACTGGCACAAAACCGATGTAAACCCGTTTGTATACGTGCCGATAGAAGATAGCGGAACAAACCGGAGCGAAAGAAACGCGAAGATAGCGAGGTACAAAGTGATTTTTCCCCGAAGAAAGAAAATCCGGATGCGGCCTTTGAGACGCGAAAAAATCGGATAATCCTTGCGCTAAACAAGGTGCAAGGGAACGGACCGATTGCACTCGGTTATCTAATAAAAATCCGATATATAAACGAAAACTTATTAATGAACGTTTGAGTATACTTAGAGGACGTTCAAGCATCAGTAAAATCGGAAACGTCGTTTTACGCGAATGAAAATCGAGTGCAATCGGTTCTTTTATTGCGAACCAGACATCCCCATTTCGCATGGCATTTTAATTTGCTGATAAACGTTTCCCGGACCATTGTCGGAAATAAGCCGGCTATTTACAAAGTAGGTATAGTGAGAGAGAGTTTCTCCACCCGACTTTATTACGTCTACTACCTACTCGAGCTTTACCTCGAGGAGTTTTCGGATTTTCCGCGCCGTAATAAGGGAAAACGTGCAAGGACGAACAGGTGACTTTATATTCGTCGGACGGACGGGAAAAAGGGAAACTCCACTCACGTTTTTTTCCATCTTGTTAACCGATAAAGGGGATTTGGGAATTATTTGATCTCGCCGGGAATCATTGGACTAATGCATAAAGAATGTGTAAAAATCGACTAATCATGCCATAAAAATCATCTACAAAAATTCGACTAAGTTCGACTCGCCAAGACGATGCCAAATGATAACATGACAAATGATAAAATGCCAAATGATATAACGCCAAATGACAAAATGCCAAATGACACAATGCCACATGACAAAATGCCAAATGACACAATGCCAAAAGAAAAAATGCCAAATGAAAAAAGAAAAAAAAAACATATATTAAACAATTATTCAGCTAATTAGAGATTTAATATATCACATTATCAACAACAGATTTCATCGCCACGTGCACATCCAGATGTAATTCAACGCGCGGGGGCGGTTCATTAGGAGCCGGGTGAAAAGTCGACCATACAAGCAATAAATAGCGATTTCCACCTCGTAATAATCCTTTTAAAATTGCGCACCAGCGGCTCTCGCCGGCTCCATAAAATCCTCTCGGTCTGAGTTAATAGTTAGCCGGAGGGGGGGGGGGGGCGGCAGAGCGCGGGGGCGGCCGCCGCCGCCGTAGGTCATACCCCGCGAACTGGAAACGCGTTTAGTCGCTACAAAATGGTTTTCCAGCCGTTCCCGGATCGTTCCGGAATACAAATGTGCATACGGCCGGAGAGCGCTCGCCCTTCTTTACAGAGAGAAAAAAAAAAAACGAAACAACAAAAACATATTATATTTCCTAAATGTAATCTTCGTTGTCGCGCGCTGCGGGAGTTGCGGAGACGCCGGGGAATTTTTTTTTTGTATGCTTTTTTTTTCGCGAGGTCGTGATGTTGTTTTTTTTTATTTTGTCCCCCAAAAAAGGACGGGGTTTTGTGTCTATTAATCTTTTACTATTCCATTTAATTATACTTCACGTTCGGCTCAGTATTCGAATACGAGTCTATACTATCTCGAGTAGATTAGTTACTTTATCATTTGGCATTTTATAATTTGAAATTTTGTTACTTTTGGCATTTTGGCATTATATCATTTGGCAATCTTGTATTTGACATTTTCTCATTTAGCAGTTTATCATTTGGCACTTTATATCATCTATCAGTTAGCATTTTATCATTTGCATTTTGGCATTTTATATTTTTATTTATTATTTGGCACGACATTTTGCACTCCCGCCATTTGGCAATCCGAAACCTACATATTAATTATCAACACTTATACTAAACCAAACTAACGACAATCCAACCCTTCGCAACCTTGTAAAATGTATAAAAAAAAACCATTCGAGAGCTCTCCTTCGGCGGAAACTCGTCCCGTCGAAAGCTCGAAGAGCGAAAGCCTCGCCGGGGCTTCGCCGTTTAATAAAGCGATATAAAATCGAGCGGAGCGGGCGAAGACTGGATCTAAAGGGATATAAAAATCGCCAAATGACAAAATGCCAAATGCCAAATAACAAAATGCCAAATGACAAAATGCCAAATGACAAAATGCCAAATGACAAAATGCCAAATGACAAAAAGCACAATGACAAAATGCTAACTGATAAAATGCCAAATTACAAAACGCCAAATGACAAAACGTCCCGTCGAAAGCTCGAAAAGCGAAAGCCTCGCCGGTGCTTCGCCGTTTAATAAAGCGATATAAAATCGAGCGGAGCGGGCGAAGACTGGATACTGGATACTGGAACTGGATGAGAGAAGAGTGCCGGAGCGGGAGCGACCGGCTACAGGAGGAGACACATGATTAATGCGGGAGCTCCCCCGTCTGATTGCCCAAGTTTACACGGTCACGTTTGTGCCAGCAGGTCCGCGCACGTCGAACGCGACCGGTTCCGTTCTCTACATTCTCCTTTAGGAAAAACTCCGCGAGGGAAAACTCCGCGCGATTTTCCTTCGATGTATATACGTTTTTCCGATCGCTCGCAGCCGAGCCGTAGGTGTATAAATAAACGGTATAACGCTATTATAGAGAGTCGTAATTTTATAATAGACACCGTACATCAAATAGCTCTCATGATTAAATTATTTTTAGGTAAATGAGATAGCAAAAATAATTCGCAATTCGAAAGGTGTAAGTAATATTGATTGAATTAGTATTAAATCGAAATGTGCTTATCGTGTAACGTTCGAAGCGTATTTGCATAAAATGGTGTATATACAGGGTGTCACACAAGTTTCTTCGCTAATAGATAACTTGTATTTAGGAAATGAAAAATGCATGTTAAGATGTTTTATTGTTTTACTCGAAAACAGCGGCCTATACGAAAAAAACCCAAGAGAGGTTTTTTGTCGCAAATTGAACAAGGAATTTATTCATAATTGAATTTTTAATGAAAATGCCCCAGTGGCGTATCAAGATTATTTTTTTCTTTAAAAAATGTTATTATTATTCGTATGCGCCTCAATGATAAGCATAAAATTTTTTATTTT